GCTGTATTGCAGCCAAAGCTCTGCTCACGACCCAGGGTTCAATCCCAGGTAGTCGGCTCACAGTTAACTCAGCCTTCTATCCTTCCGAGGTCGGTAAAATGAATACCCAGCTAGCTGGGGGGGGGGACAATGTGTAGCCTGCGTAATTAACTTGTAATCCACCCAGAGAGTGTTTTAAGTGCTATGGGGCGGTATATAAGCAGCACACTTTTCGTTTCTTTTACAAGTGAGGCTCTATAGAGATCCCCTCCTAAATAATTACAATGCTCAGGAAGCTAGAATGCTCAGCTTCCTTTTTATTAAACTAATCAGCAGCAGGAAGAAAAGGTCCAAGAAGACAATGGTGAAAGAAAACTTGAAAGCCCCTCTCTGGGGCTGGATGTTGCAGGTGTGCAGATTTGGTTTTCTTGGATGAAATTCCCAGAATTCTTGGAAAAGTCTGGAACTGCAACATTGATTTAAATAATACAAATCTGAATTTTGATGATTTAAATTAAAAATCAATTTTTAAAATCATTTTAATCACAATTCCTGTATTTTAGATTTGTATAAGAAATGCCTGGCCTTGTAATTAACCCAAAGCACAATGGTAATGTCTAATATTATTTTAATTCTCACCGATAAGAAACTATAACTAAAATAATCAGTGAACTTGGTATTCTGCCTCATGAGAAAATTAATTGAGGAGTACATTTCACCTTGGAAAATCAAAGCAACCCCAGTGCTGTTTTGCAAAGATTTTTGCAGACTAACCTGAAACACATTTACTCTGAAATCCTACATAACTCATTAGAAACAAATTCCATGCCGCATGCTTCAAATTATAAGTCTTGAAGCACTTCATGTGACAATGCTCAGGGAGGGTCTGAAGAACTACATGTTACTCTCATCTACGCAGCTACTAAAGCTTTGGCATACAATCATTTCCTTCACTGCTTTAATGCTACCAGATCTGGGATAAACAAAGCAGAATTTTAAATGCTTTTATTACTGATGATACACACAAAGAAATACCAAATAGTTACATAAGGTGTTGTTCAATAAACAGATAATTAAGAACTATGCTTGTCAACCAACAACAGTATTAATCTACTGAAGAAAAATGAATCAGTATTGTATTATTTCCTGTAAAAGAGAATACTTCCCTTACAGGCATGCTGATTATGATGGGTAACTAGAACTCAAAAATTGACAATTTTCTTTGAACTAGGATTCAGAAAGGTTTTAACATACCAAAATGTTTTCAAAGCCAGTGTTCAATATCAGGGAGTAAGGCTTAACTAACAGCAATAATGCATAAATCTAACAATAGCTTATGTAAAGTAACTAAGCACAAATTTAAACACTATATCATGACTCCCTTTGTTTCTAACACAGTTTTTGAAGACATGGCATTATTTCAAAATTATATTCTTTCAATTAGAAGTGCAATGTGTGAGGTATCTGCTTGAGGAGCCAGAAGTTGGGAGCTCAATTCACCACTGTGTATCCCAGAAGAGCCAGACTGTCTGGCCTTGACCAAACTGTATAGTCCCAGGATAGCCCCAGAAGGGCATAGTAAACCACTTCTGTGTACTCTCCACCTAGAAAACCGTGAAAATGGTTGCCATAAGTCAGAATTAACTTGATAGCACACAATTATTATTATCTGTACGCTACAGATATGTGAAAACATTGGCCAAAGTCACATGGATGGCAAAAGTAACAAATATATCAATCTTCTTCATGGCTCAAATTTAGGGATTGCACTTCCATTGCTCCTCAGTCTGTTAAAACAATCCTCAAATTGTAACAACTCTGAGTATCATCATACAGAATAATTCTCATCATTTATCTGCACCAAATTTAGTAGGCAAAGATTTCCTGAAAATGCAACACAATGGCGGAGAAAGCTTCATTGCCAAATTCCTGCTTCTTGGACTGCTCAGAAGGTACAATAATTTTATTTTACATTAAATGGAAATAGTTTTGCTTTAACATCAGGAGCTGAACCAAACTAAAAAGCAAAAGGAAGTACACACAACTCACTCCATGCACTGAAAGAATGCTTGCAGAAGTGACTAAAACCACATATCTCCTCCATTTTGCATGTAGTATATGGACATCCCTGACAACATTCACTGCTTACTCTTCAAACATAGTTCTCCATATGCAGATGTAAAAAACTTGGAAAAATCCACTAAATGTTTGTCAGGGTAGAAGGATGCAATTCTACTAGTAGATGCTATCCTTTGTAGCCCGGATAACTGCTCTAGTCCTTCCGTGAATGTACAAAAGGGTTCATGTGAAATCCCCTCTAAGAGAGGAATCATATTTGATACATGCTTGAAACAGATACCCTTCAGCTTGGGCTGACCACTCTTGCATGTTACTGAAGTGTAACTAACCTGTTACATTCCTCTCCATTCATTATGTTGTGTAGGCCTGATAGGACTTAGGGCTTGTCAACATCTCTGTTTCGCCTTTCCTCCGCTTCTCTACCACTCCTCTTTTGTTTTCTCAGTGATAAATTTCAGATTGCAAGCGCATTGATGCTGGAATCTTTCAGCTCCACATATGCTGATGGTGCGGTATATATTAATATATTATTTATTATACCATCTGTAATCTGAAATTCCCAATAAGCAGAGGAATGTGTAGAAAAGAACAGAAAAGGAAGGACGTCCATATACTACATGGAAAATGTAGACACACAAAATGTAAGTCTTGGAGTAGCTTCATGTGAGGCAGAAATGGCAATTTTGCATTTGTCTTTTAACCCTCTTTCATAACCCTCTCATAAACACACAAACCGATAGAGAGAAAAGCAGCAGGCTGTTTATTAGCCTTGGTTTAAATTAACCAATGACTCAATTAAAAGGCAAATGAAATCCTCCTGCAGCTCAAGTGGTAGAGCTTTTGGAGGAAATGAATTCTTAATCTCATTTCTGCAAAATGCAGTATTTACATTGAGTTTATATTCAAATGCTCTCATATAGTGCCGAACTAGTTTCAGTGATAATTCCTTTCATCTTTTCAGGTTCTATTTAGAGAACCACTCAGTGTTTCCTTCAACTATTTTCTTGAAATGCTCCTACTCTTCCCATCCTAGGGTATGCTTCCTGTGATAGACAGTATACACACACAAGCTTAGAGCAAGATCAAGCTTTCGCCTTTTCTTTTGCAGCCACATTCAGGTAACTGTCATGTCTGGACCACTCATTACCATAACCTTTAAAGTACTGTATATCTTTCCATCTAATGCTTCAAAATTCAACCCTAGTCAAGCCAACCTTTCTTTTTCATTCAAATCATATTATTTATTGCAAAACTATACTACTTTTCACATCACTATTACAGAGTACTTCCTTTCTGGATTTGTTATCTGCTACATCTACTTCAATTCTCATTTCTTATCCTTCTCCAATGCAGTTTCTTCAGAGCAATTTCTGACATACTGCCGACTGCATTAAGAACACAGAGTAGATGTTTCCCATGCTTCTCCCTTCCTGTTCCATTGAATCTCTGCTTTGTCCACATCTCTCTTACCAGGGAGATCATAGGGAAGATGAAAATACTATCTCTGCTTCAAGGGCCTTAATATCTATTGTGAAGGAGAGATACAAAACTGAACTTTAAACAAGGCAGGAATGTGGGAGTCCAAGATACAAAAATCAGTTGGGTTTCCTTTTCTCCACATTTACAAAAAATTGCTATGTCTGAACAAAATATGTGTTCTGTCAGTATCCTTTACTTCTTTCCTCTCCCCCCCCCCCCCGTCTTCTTGCATGCTGTTCACCATGCTCTGAACATTTTCCCTATTACTGTTAATCACATCTATTGCTTCTTGATAATCATCAAATCCATTCCTTCTCATTAAGTCACTATAACGTCATTTTTTCTGTTACTTCGACTGGTACATCTGTCCTGATCCATCCCAACTATTATTTCAAACTCTCTCCCCTCTGTGTACATCTATGAAGGCTGTAACCTATAGAAACAGAAAGCATGCAGCTTACTGTATTTCATTTATATAGTGCCTTGCTCCATGTACACAGTAGTTAGCAACATTATTTCCCAACAAATAATGCCATACATTTCATGTCAACTAAAGCCGAATTTAAACATGTTGGTACTAGGTATGTTTTGATCACCAGGGGCTAAAAGGTCAAAAACCTTAAACAGAACAAAATTCCAAAGGAAGCCTGCCAGATGAATCCACCTCTGAAGGTTGCACATAGTACTCCTACCAAAAACTGGAAATAGATGGTTGGATCATCTCTCCCCAAAACACGGTTCCAAACCAATTTTTGAGCTGCCACAAGTACATCTCCACACTTCACTGTGTGTCCACATTCTGTAAACATGGCAACATTTTAAAACTTTTATTTTAAAAATCTAAACGCCTTCCCAAGAGTTCACCATATTTTTGAATGAACCTCACACTCACTCGGAAGTGCGCAGCGATCACAGTGTTCATAGCCTCACTCCTCAAGACAAGAAGTTCCCAGCCGAGTCTAAACCCCGGCTCTATGTGCTGTACACATATTCTCCCCGCCTTCTTTCGGGCACTGTTTCTAACTCCCCTTCCTTCAGCATCCTTAAAGTTTCCAGGTCTCCTGGCCTGCCTAACGGGGAAGAGGAGCGGGGGGGGGTTACACCATTGTTCCAGGGAAACATTTGTCCCGCGTACGAACTCCTGCGCTTTTGTTCTGAGGCTTCCTCCAGCGTTAATCTCGGACCCCCCGCCGCCCCCTTCCCTTTCCTTCTCACCCCGAGCGCTCACCCCACAGCGGGGCTGAGCGAAGGCAGTAGCCCCTCCATGCCCCGAGCGGAGGCTGGCCTTCCTCTCCCGCAAGCCTGGCTCTGTCACGGAGAGGAGGAGAGGGGAGGGGAGGGGCTCTGCCTCCCACCCTTGGGCCCATCCGCTCCCCCGGCGCCTCCATTGGCGTGCGGGTCCCTCCCCCGCCTCCTTCTCCACATCCCTCAGAAACGGCTACAGCCGGGAGTCCGGCTCTCACCTCTCGACGGGGCTGTGGGCCAGGCGGCGGAGGGAGCGGGGGCCGAGGCGCTCCGCGCGCTCTTCGTGCCGCGCCGGCCCCGGTTTAACCGCGTCGTTGTCACCGCCTCCTCCTCCTCCTCGATTCTCCCTCTCTCTCTCTCCCCGCTTGGGGTCCGCAACGGTAAAGCGTCCCCTCAGCCGGAGCCACCCGGAGGATCCCCCGGGCAGCAACAGGCACTCCCGCAGCAAAGGTTCCGAGGGGTGTAGAAAGGTTCCCACATTCCTCGCGGGTAGGGCGTGCTGAAGGGGGACTGGAAAGAGAAGGGCAAAGCCGGGGGTTTGGGGGTGGCACAGGCCACAGGAAGGCGCCCATTACTAGCTGTTGAAGGGCAATGAGGACATTTTCTTGCTAAAGGAGCTATTATGATCGCACCGGAGGCAGTCGCTGGCCTAGAAGAAAGCGCGATGTTAAGCCCTTGCCTCTACTTTCCTCTCTGCTGTAGCTCCTGGCAGAACAAGGCAAGAAAGCCCTGGCCGTTTTTTCAGGACCAGTCCATACTGTGGGTGCGACGACACAGCGGGGAAATTACGCCTAGATCCGCGGTGATGCCCACTTTTTCAAAGCGGATCCCTGCTGGTTCTCGTAGGTGAAATCGCTGTAGTCAGCCAGACAAGTTTCTCACCCCGCTGGCCTCCTATGCCTTTGATCTGACGAGGTGCTAATTGGTAATATCACCTCTTTTTTAAAGTTATTATTACCAAAATGGCTTAGCAATAATTTGTTTCAGATTGCCCTTGGAAAAGCTTTTTAAAAATTGTTTAGAGACAACAGGTGCTATGTTGAGGGGAACAGACATCACAGTAAATACTGCTTTGTATCAGGTCAGGCAATAATGTCAGCAAATCGGAGCAAAATTAAAACATCCCTGTCAGATGAACTAAAAAAAAGGGGATGGTAACTCCCCACTTTAAAAAAAAAGTAATAGAGTACATTTGATAGTGGGGTTTGATTTTTTTAAAAAAGAAACATGAGGTACCAGTGCATATCCACAAATGTGTGCTTATATGGGTCTATGTATGTGTGTCAACCATACAGCCTTTTAAAAAACAAACACCCTAAAATTATGCACAATATTGAGAAAGTTTTGTAGTACCACACATCTCTTCTTTAGGTTGCATGATAAGCAAAGCAGAACTGGGGAAGCAGACAAATCCATGTATGATGGGAAAGCTCTGAAAATTATGGTAGGCACAGAACAAGATAGCACCCATCCTCTTTCAAAATACAGAAACTAATGGAGTGGCTGACAATTGAACTATGGGAATATAGACAGCAATCATTCTCCCATTTTCTTATTTATAATTGATTCCCCCATTCTTGCATCACACTCTGATTGTAATCTCTATCCTAGGCTCATTTCTTCTTGCAGACACAGCAGGCAGGGTGGTAATGGAGATAGATTTGCCCTATTTGCCCCAATGTACTCTCTCTTATATCTCTAGAACTTGGAAACTGCCCTTCTACCATTTCTCTGGTTTACTAGCCTCTTCAAAACATACATTTCTGAATAATGTCCCGATTTCTAAGACAGTTTGTCTGGGACATAAATGCAAACACATCATGTTCTAGCTTGACTCAATCAATCAGCTGGAGAAGGGTTTTTGAACAGTAGTGAAGTGGCATTGTTCTGCCAATACAATGTAATGGCATGGTAATGTGGCATCAGCCACAAGGGCATCAGCCAGTTGTTCCCTATCCAATGCTTTTACTCCCTCTTTCATCATCCTAAACTTCTCTGGTTCCCCAGTCTTCTAGTAAGTAGATATCAATAGGAAGAATAAGAGCTCAAGCTGAAACGGTCACCAGAAAAAGGGAGAAGAGGATTATAAAAATTAGAATGTTGCCCACCCTGGTCTACAGGGTTATATTTCTGTTAATATGTTTCCTTTGGTTATGTATACAGTACTGTGGCTTTCTAAACATTTTCCCTAGTTTGAAGTTGTTTAGTATAATTTTTTTATTATTATTATTACAACTCCGTGTATTACAACATTTCAGAATGCAGGAAGCTTCTCCAAACAGCAAGCCAAACGTTAAGGCTGAAGCTGTGCTGCTAAAATTAAAGAAATTCATTCTACATACTGTATCACTTACTTCTAATATGGGCACCTTGATAGACACCTTTTTATATCTTAACGCCTTGTCCAGGTAAATATAAGAAGGGAGCTGCATCCTTTGATTACCTGTCAAGGCTCATATGGTCATAGAATTGTTGCATTGGAAGGGCATCAAGGATCTCCTGGTTCAGCCATCTGGCAATGTGAATATAAGCCTTTGTTTGTCTGTTAAACACAAGACCTCTCTCCTGAAAGCATGGAAAATTGGACTGGATTAGAAAATTAACTGCTGCTGGGAATGTGATAGAAATATGCTGTTTACAGATGTTGATATTATCAGGGTCTGTGTTTTTTTTTTTCATCTCTTCCACACTACTAATGATGTATACAAGGTGTGGATGGCTTGTGGACTTATTCTATAGTAGTGTTTACTTAGAATTGGAGCAGTGTCATGTTTTGATACCCCGTTTCCCTGAAAATAAGCCCTAACCTGAAAATAAGCCCTCTCTGTTTATTTCCTGCAATTTTCTTCTCAGTGCATAACTCTAAGGCCCAAGGTCCAGGAATGGATATGTGTGGCCTCCCAACCTCTGGAGATTGCCCATACCTGTCATAGTGTTTATTTAGGTTGGCAGTTAAGGTATAAGAAGAGTGCACCAATGTGCCCAGGCTTCGAGAGAGACTGAGACTCAATTGGGGAAGTAGTTACTACCATAACTTTGTTCAAGCTGAAGTTTTTCTCTCTCCTGACAATGTACATATCATGTGTTATAAGTCTATCGTCGTCTAGTTGTGTCCAACTCTTCGTGACCCCATGGACCAGAGCACGCCAGGCCCTCCTGTCTTCCACTGCCTTCTGTAGTTGTTCAAATTCATGTTGGTTGCTTCGATGACACTGTCCAGCCATCTCATCCTCTGTCGTCCCCTTCTCCTCTTGCCTTCACACTTTCCCAACATCAGGGTCTTATCCAGGGAGTCTTTTCTTCTCATGAGATGGCCAAAGTACTGGAGCCTCAGCTTCAGGATCTGTCCTTCCAGTGAGCACTCAGGGTTGATTTCCTTTAGAATTGATAGGTTTGTTCTCCTTGCAGTCCAGGGGACTTTCAAGAGCCTCCTCCAGCACCACAATTCAAAGGCATCAATTCTTCGGAGGTCAGCTTTCTTCATGGTCCAGATCTCACTTCCATACATCACTACAGGAAAAACCAAACCTTTGACTATTTGGACTTTTGTTGGCAAGGTGATGTCTCTGCTTTTTAAGATGCCGTCTAGGTTTGTCATCGCTTTCCTCCCAAGAAGCAGTCTACAGACTAGACAATATATGGCAGAATCCTGTTGCTTATTATATGATCTCATTGGGACACTTAGGTAAGCAATGTTGACTGTTTCCAAAGGTGTCTGTTTTGTGCCTAACTGGCCTCCTGATTGTGCAGTCTATTGAAGAACCGGTCATAGGATAGGCAGTCTGGTGGGGAGCACAACCACTTGCACAAATGCCCTTGCATGTGTGGAAATCCTCAACAGCATCTGGCAATTTGATAGTCTGTCGTGCTTTTTCAAACACGTTCATTCTCTCTCTCTTTTTGTCTCCTCACCACATGGCCTGGGGGTGGGGCCTAGGGGGTGGGACTTTCTGCTTTAAAAGAGTGTGTCCCAGGACCCTGGACCCTTTTCCCTGGGAAGCTGGGCTGAGGGTGAAGGCCAGGTATGTTTGAATGGATGTTTTGCTGAGGTTTTCTCTTTTTTCTGGGCTTTCTTTTTGTCTCCTCACCACATAGCCTGGGGGAAGGGCCTAGGGGGTGGGACTTTCTGCTTTAAAAGAGTGTGTCCCAGAAATTCTCAAATTATATCTCTGGCCTAATATGGTAAATAGGAATGCCAATTAGATTTGCATAAGCCTGGGAGGCAGGAAAGTTTTAAGGGTCAGATCATACTTTCGCACTATTAGAGCAGGCCGGGTAGGTGGGGCTCGTCAGCTATGGAAGGCAGCCCATCTAGGAGAAGGACAACTCCAATTTCAAACCTCCACTGCCTTGTGGCTATATCCACTCATGGAAAAGGCTTCAGGAGTTAACCTAGAGGCAAAATCCGGAGCTGGAGTCCTGAAGGCAGCTCGTGTCGTTCTACCATCTCCTGCGACGTTGCTGGAACCAGTCGTATTGGCTCTTGCCTTTCCATTGGACCCTTTCAGCAATGTGGAGAGGGGGGATCTGCTGCTTGGGTAACAGCTTATCCTCCATATTACTTTACCCAGGCTTCATGCTCTGGAGAGGACACTCCTAGATTCAGAGCATGTTACCATAGTCTCTCTAGACTTAAGGATGCCTATATATTGTTTATATTGAAGGCATACATAGTATTTTAAATTCTACAATGAGTTCCAACATTGTAACAGTGGCATAAGGCAACTCCTGCACATTTCATCAGTAGGGGATCTGCACATCTATATCATGGCATCTGTTTCCTTCTCCACTGTGGTTGTGCCTTCCACTGAAGTGGAAAGCATAAAATTGCACCTGTTTTGACACCAAGGTAAGATCCTATTAGAAAGAGTTAGCTTGTGGGTGTCACATTTCCTCCATAAGTTCCATTGATTCAACTAGGTCCAATCTAACTGTGACTTACAGTGTTACCTCGACTTACAAACTTAATCCATATTGGAATGGTGATCACAAGTCGAAAAGTTCGTAGGTCGGGGCACCATTTCCCATAGGAATGCACTGAAAACCAATTAATGTGTTCCAGGGAAAGGGAAAAAAATACCAAAAACATTTAAAAATTAAAAATAAAACACTGCAAGTCCCATGCCGGGTCTGCAAAAAAAATAAAAACAAACAAATCCAAAAAGAAACATTGGAGCAAGTCCCACTCTGGGACTGAAAAAAAAAATCACCAAAAAACAAAATAACACAAAAACATATCCCCCTAGCTGCGGCGGAGGCAGCAGTCGCCAAGTGCTGGGCGACTTGAGCTGGCTAGGTTTCGGCCGCTTGCCTCCCAGCTCGCCTCCCGCTTGCTCTGTGCCACCCTTCATGGCCCCATGGCAGCAAATTCAAATGACGGAGGGCGGTGAGAAGTGGTAGGAGGCAAGACAGGGGGGAAGCGGCCGAAGAAACCTAGCCAGTTCAAGCCTCCCATCACTGGGTGATCACTGCCTCCAATCATGGTGGCAGGGGACCCCTGGGAGGTTTCCCAGGGCTTCCCCGCCACCATTGGAGACCTCCTGGGGGTCCCTCGCCACCGCAATCGGTGCCTTCGGAGGCCTCCTGGGGGTCCGATCGTGGTGGTGGGGGACCCCCAGGAGGTCTCCGATGGTGGTGGGGAAGCCCTGGGAGGTCTTCCAGGGCTTCCCCGCCCCCATTGGAGACCTCCTGGGGGCTGATC